AAATGGAAATTTGGGAACACATTTAAAAAATGAAGGACCAGATCAAGGTGGCCTCAATCAGAAGGATGATTCACTCAAGGCACGTGCAAATGCCCAGGCAAACTCCTTAACTCGCCCTTCCATTGTTAGTTCTCTGGAAGAGGCACGGGCAGTGCATGCATGAGGGAAAAAAAGGAATGTGAAAAAGGCTCCAGCAAGAAGAGAAAAATACTACCAAGTTGGAGGTACAGCAAGCCATAAAAAAAAAAAAATCTCTGGCCTGCAGCACCCACTGACGATCCCCATACCCTGGAACAGAAAGAGCAAATGTTCGGGTACTAAAGCCTGGGGAGGAGTGGCAAATGGATTTTATAGGCCCACTAAAACCCAGTAAGAAAAAAAATATATATCTTGGTAGCAGTGGATGTAGCCACAGGCTGGCCAAAAATGTGGCCTACGGCCAAGGCTACTGAAGATATAGTACTGTGAACTCTGAGAGAGTTAAAAGTTCGTTTTGGAAAACCTCGCTGTTTAAAAACAAACAATAGGTCTCACTTGAAAAATTCTGGAGTAGCGCAGTAGTGTAAAAAAAGAAATATAAAGCACCGCTTCGGTATTCCCTACCATCCGCAAGGTCAGGAAGAAGTGGAGCGCTTAAATCAAGAAATAAAAAGAAAATTGAATATCGCTCAAAAAGTTTAAAAAAGAGTTCAGCAAGTCCCCTGGGTACTACGGGCCCTACGAACTAAAGCATAGAAATGGAGAACAAGCCCTTTCGCCCAAATAATGGGCCGACCCCCCCCAAATATCAGTGTAAAAAAGTGGAGCTGGCCTTAAAACAAAGATTTGAACCAATCTCGCTGGCCTCCAGTAAGAACTCAAGTAAAATTTCATGTCCGTCCAGGACAAAAAAAAAAAAAAAAAATTTAAGAAGCCTAGTTCTAGTCTGGAGCCAGAGAAACACGGTATTGGTAGGAACCCCTACCACTAAATATTGAATTCCATCTAACCAAACAGTTGTTTTCCAAAAATCACCATGAAGGCCAAAGTACTACTGCTTGTAATAAAACTAATAAAGTTAGAAGCAGCTGACCCAGTAAGTAACCCCTTCCAAAACCCCCTCCCCAACTCTCCTAAAAAGCCAGTAGGTCCAAACTCCTGAATACAACGTTGAAATCACCCCCCTGGTTCTGAATGGTAAAAGAGTGAACATTAAAAAAAAGTACTAAAACGTGGCCACCGAAATGCAATCGCTACTAGCTACCTGGCCCAATGTCTCTTGCCCCCCCGTGGCCTGTCAAGGATTCGTATAAAAAAAATGCATTTGTATAAAATCTAAAATGCTACTATAAAACCTAATTACACCAACTGGCTTTCAGTTTAGCAACTGGCTGGCTCCATCCAGAGTCCCTACAAAGCACACTGGTACATGTAGGTTACCACGACCAAGACTAAAAGACCCCAGATCTGGGGAAACACCCATCGGGAAATACATGTCTCTAACTCCTGAAAAAATATCACATTCCACTATAAGATCTCAACTCTTCCAGGAACTAATTAGTCTTTATTGACCCATGATAAAGACTATGTCAGCAAAATCAAAAAATTTCAACACACCAGGGCAAAAGGCACTCAACTTCACTAAAGGCAACTACAAACATACCGCACGCAGTGGACTCAAAGTAAATTTTGTGTTAATGTTTGCTGAAATTGTAAATTCTATCAAAAATAGTTGACCCGAAAGGCGCCCCATCCCAACAAAGGTATGAGACACTTTGTGTAGTAAAAAGGAAAAGAAAAAAAAAAAAAAAAAAAGCTTAACAGATGGGCAAAAACAAAAGTTAACAAATAAAGAAGTAATCTCTTTAAATTTCAGTAAATCCCACCTACCCAGAAGAGATCCCCACCACCATGGGGTCTAAAGTCCCAAAAACTTTTGTAGCGTTTCCCTCGGTATTCTTAAAAAAAAGAAAATTATAATCTTACAATAAAAAGTCAATGTTACCAAATTGCACCCCTGGTGCAATTAATGAGCGGAACCCGTTCTCTCTGCTTGGCCAAAAAACTCCGGTACCCATCGCAGGGTGTGGAGAGACGCTTCTACCATCCTGAGAACACTAGGAACAGCAGAAGCAGCACTAAATTCAATAAATATAAAAGTTGTAAGAAATAAGCTTGCCAAAATGGGACAACTTACCCAATAGGCGCTAAAAAGCCAAATTGTGGCAAATGCAGAATACCAAGAGAACCACGTCAAAACACTAACCATGGTGGTACAGCCCCTCAGACAAATGCAATCCATCCAGAAGCAATAATAAAAAAAAGCAAAGAACCTTGAAAGTGAAACAAGCTCGGCTATAGCTTGTATTACCATGCAAACTTTTGCGTTACACCAATATAAAAAACAAACACTCTTAAGTTAAATCTGGAGAACCAGCGGTCATTTCAAATTCTTATGTAAAGTAGTGCCCAAAGTGTAAACCTCTCTTCGCTAAAGTAATATCATCAAGAATCAAAACACCACTAAAAGAGTATATCCATGTCAAATCAGTAAAAATAGAAACGAAAGTCTGGCTTCTATATGAGTACATTCCCGTCCCCATAGTATTAGCAGGAAAAATTTAGGCCCCTCAATCTCTGGCCAAATAATTAACTCAGTCGAGAAAACTTCTAAACCCTAGAAAATATAAACAATGGGGACAAAATAAGTAAATGTATTATCAAAAAAACTTCTTGATAGACCCTTGTCGGCTGCACCAAGATAGTGTTGATAATTGCGTGTTAAATAGTATTTTCAATCAAAGTACCATGGTAATCAATAACGCCATCGGGTGCTTGTGTGTAGCTTCAGTAGGCCCTGTGACCTAGAACAATAAAAATGTTTCCCAGCCTTCCGTAAAAAAGTATCGCTACAATGCGACAACAATTAAAAGTATAGGGCATATATATGCCCAAACAACTTACTCCCCGTCACAAGCAATGGCAAAAATGTTTCCAGTAAATTAAACAGTTTCATTAAATCCATCTTAAAAAGCTGTGTATCGGCAATTAAACAAATTTAAAAAAATGCTTAAAGCCTATAATAATACTCTAAGTAAAAAAAAAGCAAGCAAGTCTGCATATCGTCCATCAAAAGGACAAACTAAAATTAACTACAAAATTAAAATCAGTATCCAAACATCACTAATATAATATTTTCTTAAAATATAGCCCCACCTGAACAAGATTAATAAATCTAATAATATAGCCTATAGTAATTGTGCTGCTATGTATTATAGTTTTATGTCTGCTAATATGCATGATTACTTGCTATGCTCAAAAATTGTATTAAAAAAAAATCAAAGGTCTAACAAATTATGTCAATGGGTATGTTACCCTGCGCAATTTTAATCAGCACGAATATATGCAGATGCAACTGATCACAGGAGAATTGTTAGGCCCGAATCAGGCCTAACCCAGAAAGGCCTCTGGAAGGAGGCCAACCTGACACCCCAAAAAGGGGGTCAGTGTTGCAGAACCCAGAGGCTATGACCTAATGCATCTGTTGCAAGGTACTTAAGTTAAAAAGAGTTAGGTCCCAGCTGAAACTGCTTTGAGGAGGACAAGGCTAAGAACCCAATAAAGAAGGCAGTCTTGCCACCCTGGATGCAGGGTGGGATTCCCAAAACCTATCAGGTAACAACTGGGGATAAGGTGTGAAGTGCCTTTCCTCCAGCCCGACATGCTTGCAGCTCAAAACTTGTTATAATCATTTTTATGTATGTTATTAACTTTTCCTTGTAATAAAGACTGGCACTTGAGTTTTACTTGGTGTGTGACTAGTGGGTTACTCACCTACCCCTGTTAAAAAAGGAGCCCCTAGCAGTATCCATGGACTCTATCCCTCCTGGAAGTGTCTGAAGGTTATTCCTGGGATAACTGAAGATGTTCCCGGCCAATGCACCACTTTGTGAGAGGGTTCTGCATTTTTATCTTCGTCTCCTCTCTGTACTTGTCTGCCATGACTTGGATTGGGAAGAAAAGCAAGGAGATCAGTGTTCTTTGATGGTTGCGATAGATAAATGCCACCCCGGTGTTAAAGTTCACAGTGTTAGTTTAGTTCTAAAGTAAAGTGGTACAGCAATAGCTATGTCACCAATTACTTCATTGGTGAGGGTCGTCTGTGTTACAAATGAAGAATCTCTGCACTGGATACTTTGTAGCTACTTTGCAAGCAGTCTCTGCTGCTAATTACCTCATTGGCGGTGAGCATTTCCCACATCTCTCTTTCTCTGCAGGCCTCCCTTGCCAAGAGTGATTTCCTGCTGCTCTCTCCCAACCTGTCTCTCCATCTTTGGTTATAATTGTCCTAGTGGGGTCAAGGCTTGAGGTTAGCTTCTACCCGCACCCTGTACTTTATCTGAGAGGGCTCTATCTCAGTTCCCGGCACCCGCCTCCTGGTGCCTCAGTGTCTTCCTGCACTCACCAGTGCAGCTCAGTTTCTCCTCAAAGTAATCTCCCTCTAAGATTGACTTGCTGCCGCTCCTGAAGTCCTGCACTCCTGGCATTCTTCTGGATTGCAGGTTGGTTTCTTCTTTCCCCTCTGGAGTCTCTGTCACTCCTCATTTATCTTCTTGTGCCCCGCTGCCGTCTTTTATCCCCCCTGCCCGATTTTCGTAGGCTAATCATGCAAAACTTTTCCAGGTGTGTAATGTCCACCACCTGACAGAGTTCATTGTCGGGTCAATCCTGCCCGACCCTGTCTAACTAACAGGGCTCCTGCCTGAGTCCCTGTTACAGTGGTGCTTGGGGGAGGAGATACAAACTTCATGGGAAGAAAATAAGCTCATTAGAAACTGTCACAACATTAAAACCAGCCTTTAAACTAACTTGCTTTTTATCTGACAGAAAGCATGTGATACTGTTGGGTAAATAAGTTCACTGTATTAAATTCAAACCTCAGATGCTTTAGATTAGAGCAAAAACATTGAAGGCTAATAACTTGGTTTCCTTTTCTGCCTTATTGACTCTCCTCTTTTTAGATTGGCTTCACCACAGATCCCCGAATGGCCCGCTCCTCTCCGTACCCCACTGATGTTGCTCGTGTAGTCAATGCACCCATTTTCCATGTGAATGCTGATGACCCTGAAGCAGTGATGTATGTGTGCAACGTAGCTGCAGAATGGAGAAATACATTCAATAAAGATGTGGTTGTAGACTTAGTAAGTAGTGGATTAGTCTTAACTTTTTACTGTGTTAATTACAGTACATAAATATCATCAAACTGGTTAATGACTGTCAGCTTTACATATGACTGAGCACATTCTGTTTAGATGTGAGCAATAAGAATTTCCTCACCTTATATTGCAGTACTGCTTAGAGGCCTCAAGACAAAGGTCCCATTGTACCAGATGCTGCCTTCTTAGAAATTAATACTAATGTGAATATCTCTTAGCTTCTGCAGAAGCTGTTATTTTAATGTCCTAAGCACTATATATCAAGAAAGCAGTACATGTGAATAGCTTAGATTCCTTACTGCCCTCTCTCTGCAGGTCTGTTACCGAAGGAGAGGCCACAATGAAATGGATGAACCCATGTTCACCCAGCCCCTGATGTACAAGCAGATCCACAAGCAGGTGCCAGTGCTGAAGAAATATGCTGACAAACTGATTGCAGATGGGACTGTAACACTGCAGGAGTTTGAGGTACAATATGTCAGCAGAGTGGAAGGCTGTTTGTGATGTTGTTTTCAGAAAGAAGTGACTGTTTCATTACATGCTGTTAGCTTAACTACTTCTTCCTTGACTTCTTTGCCTTCTCTCATTGACTTTTTCTGACTTACTTTAGCTATGTCTTACATAAAATTGAAAATCCAATTATTGGGGGAAGTAGTGTCGAAAGAGATTAACTTAATGTTTGCCATCTTTAAATTCAGTTACTTAAGTACTGAAAAAGAGGCAGATTTATCTCTAATTGAAGCTAGAGCATTTACGATGAAGTCCTCCTGTTGCATGGTCGCTGTTTGCCCCATGTGCTATATAGCATTTCAGTAATGCACACTAACTAGAAAAACATGTTCTCCTCTATCCTTAGACTGACAAACAGTGAGTTAGGACTAAGAGGGAAGAAGCAGGGAATCCAAATTACCCTTTCTGCCTTGATCTTAAAAGTATACCATTCAGGTAGTGTCTAGTCAAGTGATATCTGAATGTTCATGATCGTGTACACTGCATGTTAATCATAGGAGCTTCTTGTTGCCACATCTAAAAGTAGCAGCTGTATGCAATAGGCTCTGTTTACTTACCTGTCAGAGTAGTAAAACAAATTATTATGTCTAGACTTATTTAAACCACTGTCAAAGTTTTAAAAAATAAACTGTTTTGCAGGCTAGAATTAAACTTATTAGGTTGGTTTTGTGTGTTGTTTTTTTTCTCCTTGTGTTTGGAAGTAAATCTTGTGCTCATGAACTGAACTAACCGTAGCAGCAGCAAACACAGCTTAGCATGTGGAGATGCAGCAAAATCTTCAGGAGCACATGGGCCTGCATCTGTACTGTCTATAACTGTAGTATCATAGTGCTTAGGGTCGGAAGGGACCTAAACAGATCATCAGGTCCAATCCCCTGCCCTGGGGAGGAACAAGTGCCGGGGTCATAACACCCCAGCCAGATATCTATCTAGCCTCTTCCTTGAAGACCCCCAAGGTAGGAGAGAGCACCACCTTCCTTGGGAGTCCGTTCCAGAGCCTGGCAGCCCTAACTGAAGTAATGCCTCCTGATATTCAGCCTGAACCTTCTTTCTAAAAATTTGTGGCTGTTATTCCTAGTAATCCCCGGTGGTGCCCAGGGGAACAGTCTTGCCCAATTTCGGCTGGCCCCCCGGTGAGCTTGTAAACGGCCACCAGATACCCTCTCAGCCGTCTCTTGTGGAGGCTGAATAGGTTCAGGCCCTTTAGCCTCTCTTCGTAGGACCTGACCCCTTGACCATGTGAGTGGCCCTCTTCTGGACGCTGTCTATGCTAGCCACATCCTTCTTGAAGTGCGGCCCCAGAACTGGACACAGTACTCCAACTGTGGTCTGACCAGCGCCGCATAGAGGGGAAGGATCACCTCCCTGGACCTGCTTGTGATGTATCTGTGGAATGTACAGCCTCAGATGCCTATTAAACTTTTCTTCTGCTTAGTTCTGGGTAGATTGGCGGGGGGGAGTGAGAACAGAAAAAGTCCTTTGTAAGTTCAGCAAGCTGGGTGCCAGGACTCCCTCAGGAACACAGAGCCGACAGGTAACAGAGTGCATCTACACGTGTGCCCATTGGGAGCAGCTTGGAGCAGAGCTACTCCTGCCCTTCTCCCCTACCCCCTCTACAGCACGCTGAGGGAGCTCTAGGCTCCCCGGGGTGCCAGCCCCAGGCTGGCAGGGGACACCATGGTTAGGCCTGGTCTCTACAGGGGTGAGGAGGGGGGTGGAGAGGAGGAGGGAGCTGTCCCACCTCTAGGGCAGCCATTTCCCAGCCTCATGCCCCAGGGATGGGAAAGTGTCCCCTCCCCCACAGTTGTTTCCCAGCCCTGTGCCCCAATTGGCCGATTAGGGTAGGAAGCTGGGAAACAGCTGTGGGGGAGGGGACAGGTACCCCTCCCCCCTGCTACTTGGGCTGACCAGGAGCAATTTCCTCCCTTTCAGCTGTCTGCACAGTCAGTATTGTATAGTAGCTAATGCAGAGTTAATCTACTACTTCTATTTACAGGTAGTAGAAAACTGCATCTTAGCTTAATTTACTGTTCAGTAGCTGTTGCACATGGTTATATGGTGACACTTTGCTGCACAGTAGATTAGTCTACTGCACAGTAAAACATCTAGTGTAGACTTGCCCAATGAGTAGGAGTTAATGCTGCAATCCCAGGGCCCTTACTGCAACCCATCTAAATGTACTCAAGTTGTCTTTAAGCTAGACAGCAGTATAGCATCTGCAGGATGGGCTACACAAACCTATCTAGAGGCTGCTGCAGCTGTGCAGTTCTCTGTACCATAGCTAGCTAAGTTAATTCAAGTCTGTCATTGGATCTCTAGCTTTCAGTGTAGGTAAACTCACAGCTTGGTATTGTGCCTTAAGGTGTGAATTGTACCGAACCATTTCAGGTTACCCAAGCAGCGCAGCTAAGATCCATTGAGTGTTTGTGAAACTTCCAATTCCTGTGGTGATGCTACATCTTGAAGCATGAGATTTAGTTTGATTTGCATATGCATGACTACAAGACATGTATGTGTCTGGTTGTTCTTATTTTATTCTCGTCTGGAATACCACCTGTTGTTTTAGTGCTGAATTTTTATTCAGTAGCATCTGTCCTAAGTACTGAACTGTTAGCTTGTGCATTGGATAAATATGCTTAGGAGGCCTGAACCAGAGTTTGGTCCTAGATAAACTGCAGTGACTCTAGGAGAATTTCTTAGCTGGTGTAATTGGGAACAGAAACTAGAATTTTGTAAATAGCTCTCTATTATGAAAAGGTTTTCTCACACTTGAACAATATACAATTTCTGTAAACAGTAGGGGCTTATTCTGTCTGCCTGCTTCATATGGAGATTATTTGTCCTGTAGGAAGAAATTGCAAAGTATGATAGAATCTGTGAAGAAGCTTATACAAGATCTAAAGATAAAAAAATTCTACATATTAAGCACTGGCTTGATTCACCTTGGCCTGGTAAGATATGTTCTTTCAAATAACCTACTACCTTTGTTAGTGATACATTTGTACTTCCATTTTGTGCCAAATTCCTGCAACTCTTACTGATGTTATCAGGCAGTGCTTGTGCTGAGTGAAGCGCTTGTTTACTTATGCTGACTGAAACATAGCATACCAGATGAGTTGGGCAGAGTGCATTTGTCAGCAAATCTTTAAATCTGGGTGTGTCCAGAGCAATTCACTACTACTTTTTGGGAGGGAGGAGGACCCCCTCTTCCTTTCCCCCCCAGTCAGTGCTGTTAAGAAAAAATGACTTTTCTGTAGGGGTACATGCCTTGTGGGAGTGGGGGAAGTTGCCCATTCCCACAGATATTTTGGTGAACTAAAGTGAGCCCGTGCCCTGTGTTGGCTGACCCTTTGGAGATAGGTGAATTACACCCATTGTAAATTAAAGTAAGCAAAATTGAGCTATCGGGTACATGTGTGATCAAGTATCATTTCATGGAAGACCTTTTAAATCGAGCCTCTTATTTAATTTTAAAAGCTAGAAAAATGGCTCTTGACCATTACAGACATTGATTTTTTTTTTTAAAAACAGGTTTTATAGTATGTAAAATAATACAAATGAAAAGCAGACTTCTTAAGAATTAGCTCATTTTAATAACAAGCATCTGGAATGTTTTACAAAATTTCTCCTTCCAGGCTTCTTTAATTTGGATGGAGAACCAAAAAGCATGACTTGTACTCCTACTGGCATTGCAGAAGACATGCTGACTCACATTGGCAGTGTAGCCAGCTCTGTGCCACTTGAAGATTTCAAAATACATACAGGTCAGCTGGAGTTCTTGTTTCTAATGTAGTATTGGTACTTTCTGTTCATACTTAAGTTTCTGAACATAAGCTCTTGATCAATCACTCTTCTGAAGTGTATTAACTGATAAAAGGGAGGAAGGAGCATGTTACCTTTCTTTGCAATTAATACTGTATTTACTTGAATATAAGATGAGTTGTCCTCCCCCCCCCCCCCACTTCAGTATGGTGGAGGGAAATCTCTCATCTTATATTCCATAACAAGGAATAACAGCCACAAGTTGTTGGAGAGTAGGTTTAGATTAGACATCCGTAAGAACTACTTCACAGTCAGGGCGGCTAGGATCTGGAACCAACTTCCAAGGGAGGTGGTGCTGGTTCCTACCCTTGGGGGTCTTTAAGAAGAGGCTTGATGCCTACCTGGCTGGACTCATTTGAGCCCGGTTTTTCTCCTGCCCAGGTGGGGGGTCGGACTTGAAGATCTACAAGGTCCCTTCCAACCCTACTTCTATGATTCTGTGACTCCAGTATGGGCCAGGCAGGCAGCTGATGTGGCCCTGAAGTGAGTTAGGATGGTTTATGTGGCAGGTAGGGAGTGCATGGGAGAGCATGGGGATGTGTGCATGGTGTGGGAGGAGCACGGGAAAAGGCAGAGGGAGGATTGTGGGGGGGAAAGGATGGTACAGAGTAAGGGGAGGCCCAGGGAAAGGGACATGTGGAGCACAGGGAAATGGCACAGGGGAAGGGATATGTGGAGTGTCCCTTCCCCCACACCTCTTCAACTGTATTTTCCCCCCAGCACTGCATACCCTTTCTCCCATGTGGGGAAGGGGTGTATGGTGCAAGAGGGAGCACAGGGAAAGGGCATGCGGTATAAGGGAAGCTCAGGAGAAGGGTGTGCAGTGCTGGGCAAGGGGCTGAAGCTGGAACCACTGTTACTACCTGGCCCAGCTGGATGCTCCATGCCTCCCGTGGAGACGGAGCAAGAGAGGGTGCAAAGGTAAGGGGGGTGGGGTTGCAGGCACAAAAAGGGAGCAAGTGGTAGGAGGCACAAGAAAGCACTGGCAAGGGGTGACAGGGGATAGACACGGAGGATCAAGGGACAAGGTTGTGGGGAGGGACAAAGGGGATAGGGCAGGTTATTTTCCCCCACCAATTTTCCATGTCTGCAATCTGATAGTTGGGGGGTTGTCTTAAATTTAGGTTTGTCTGCAATTTGCGTAAAAGCAGTACATGAGATTTTATGGGAAGGTGGCAACAAAGGGTCTACTGACTTCTGTCTACCAATTTAATATTCCTTTATCACAATACTTCTGTCCTTTCTTTTTTAAAAGAAATACTTTTCTTTGGAACCTTGTGGTTTTGAGGGAACTGAAATTATCTATGTAATGTTCATCTGCCTAAATATTTTTAGGCAGGACTGGGACTACCTTGGACTACCTGCCTAGATAATTTCCTTCCCTTTCCTACTTACCCGTCCAAAAAAACCCGAAGAAATAAATACATATTTTACAGCCTTATAATATCAGAATTTGGAATAGGTCTTTGTATGTGCTTGTGTTCCTTCAGGCATACTAAATGTTGTAACAAGCAGTGGTAATGGGTTTCCTAATTCTCACTTGCAGGCATATTAAACAGAAGCAATTATAATATTAACTTTTAAAAGTCTGCATTACACTTGTGCAAGAGGCCCTGGATTGTTGTGACACTGTTTAATTTTTTAATTAACATGAGCCAGATATTTAATTTTAAAATACTGCTTGTACACCTGATGAGAATGGAAGGAAATTTAGGTTCATCTCCTTTTGGAAACCAGACTAACTTGATTAATCCTTGATAGCTCTAAAACTGTATCTACACCAACTGTTAGGATCAGCCTTAAAGTCATGCTGTTAGTCCGTACCTGCTGACCATCTGCACTTAGTTTGACCCATAGCAACAGTCCAGTCCATGGCAACACTAGCGTCTCTGCTGAACTGATTCTTAGAAGAGCCGTACAGAGAACTCTGTGATATCATATTTACTCAAATCTAACATGAGTCTGAATTTAAGATGACACCCCAATAATTAGATTCTACACATGGAAAATATATAAATTGGTTATAGTTTTCTATGTAAAGAATCTAAATTTTGGGGGGTTGTCTTTAATTCAACCCCTGCCACTGCTGCAAGAGAGCAGGTAGTGGGGGGGACATTCAGTATGGGGAGGTCAAGCATTTTGCCCCCTGCTTCTGCCTGTCACTTCTGCCCCTTACGTCTGCCCCCTATTCCCTCCTCAGCCTCAGGGCTCCTCTCCTGTCTCTGCTCCTCCCCTAACCCAGCCTCTGCTCCTCAATCCCTCCACCCTTACACTTGCTCCATCCCTGTTCTAAACTGAGGCATGGAGCATGGCCCAAATCCAGCCCCAGTAGCAGCAGTGCAGAGAGTGGTAGTTCATGTGGCTCAAGCTGAGGGTCAAGGTCAATCTTTAATATCAGTGTAGACCAATGACTTCCAACTAGGGTGCTGTGAAGTACTGGTCACTTTTAGCACACGCTGCCTAAGATTCACAAAATAGGTAGAGATTTTAAATAGTAATACATTATGTCCAAAATACTCTAACCTATTGTGGTGTTTCTGAGTTCTTGGCAATAGAAGATTTAAGGTTATAGGATCATAGGAATGTACAGCTGGAAGGGACTTCATGAGGTCATCTAGTCCAGCTCTTTGCACAAGGTACGATCAACCCTGAATAAATCATACCAGTCAAGTGCCTGTCTAACCTGCTCTTGAAAATTTTCAGGGCTGGAGATTCCACAGTTTCTCAAGATAACCTGTTTTAATGCTTGACCAACCATATAGTTAGGAAGTTCTTTCAGATCTCCAACCTAAATTTCCTGTACTGCAGTTTGAAGCTATTGCTTCTAGCCCTCTTCCCTACAGCAACAGAGAAAATTCTATCTCCAAAAAGTGTAATGCACTGCTAACTGCACTACCCAGGCTTTGGGGTTTTTTCCATTCTCAAAAAACAAGACAAAGCAAGAGCCTACATTTTGCAAGGGGTGCTTTGAGTTTTAGAAGGTTGAGAACCACTGGTATAGACATACCATAAGTAACACACAATATAACACACGGCTTTCCATTTTTTGAGGGAATCCCTACAGATAGTAGGTCTTAATCTGTGAACTTTCACATTGTTGAAAAGGCCACCAAAATGGAGAAGTTGGTTGGTTGGGGAGTTAAAATGGAGGGTGCACCACGAAGATATTGTCAGTGTCCTTTCTCCAGGATAAAATCAATAGGTGAATGCCTTCCTCTTTTGGAGAAATAAACAGCCAGCCTGTCTGAACTCTAATGGACAGATGATCTTTTACCTGGGAATGTTCATTTTTGACCTAGGATGTTTAGTGCCACACCATGTTGCTTTAATGTAAATCACCACATGGCTGTTTTCAAAGCTGAAGTAATTTTTGGTATCTGACACTCATGTTTGAGTGGGAGTGTGTTTATGTAAATAAGATTTAATTACTTTCAGTCATCTTAAATGCATGTGTTCAACTGTTGATTAATTAATGTAAATGATTTCTAATATAATATAAATGATGTTTAACTATAATTCGTCATCAAGGATTAGATGTAGGAGTCCCATACAGCATTCATTCCTCAGATATAATCATGTTCTCCATTTAGCATGCAACCATCTTGTTTTGATGTGGATTTAAATATCACAAGTTGCATAAAACTGGTTATGTGTTTACACTGTCAACATCATACTATTCAGGCAGGTGTGAAAGATGAGATCAGTCTCTGAAGACTTCATGGTTAGAAATTAGTGATGTAGGTTGGAAGGTATCACATCTATGTCACTGAGGTTAAGCTACTACCACTGCTGTAGTAGGGGAACGCTTTTCTAGTTAATTCCCATATATTCTAGAAAAGGTTCCTTTTTGAAGGAAGAGACTATTGGGTTAAAACCTGGCAGACTGAGACAGTTAAAGGGGTCTTAAAATATTCACGTAGAGTAAACATCATGAAAGACAACTTGGAGATGGAATGAGACTAAGGGAACAATTGAGTCATGTATCTTGAACAGTGGCAGGAGACAAAGAAGAGATCAGGAAAGTGTAATTTTTGTATCAAACCTTTGGATATTCAGAAGTCCGTTGTAGCTTTGGCAAGGACAAAGTTCTGGTGGTAGGAATGGGGAGTGATGTGCATATTTTGTAAGGAGGGATGTTAGGACTTTTAGGCAGCAGCATTGGTGCAGAGGCAGAAAGAGACCAGAATAAAATGACTCGCAGCTGGAAAGGCTTATAGTGTTTTCATTTGAGGTGCATTGTGTGCAGTTTTAATCCCTGTGAAAGTCATGCACCTTGAACTCTAATTTCCAGTTTCAAGGAAACTGTAAAGACTCCAGAAGTAATGAGAACTTCCCCATGGAAAGCTGTTGATGCATGAAGTTCCCATTTGAGAATCCACATCCCATTTAAAATTCAGAAACAATAGATACAGTTAGCTGGTTTACTCTGTTCTCTCCACATTTCTGGTTTGTTTTTTTTAATTCTGCCTCTTCTCCACCCTCTACTGCTTTTTTTGCAGCATCCCCCAAAATCCAAAAAGTAAAATAAATAAATAAATAACTACAACCAGCCCTAATCTGACTTTGTTGCTTACTAAACAGCACCACGCAGTGCAGACTTGAAAAGAAATTTGGATCTGAATATCCTATTTTTGTACTGCTGCAAAATAGTCTTTGAAAAACTCCTCTCTTTTTATTTTCTCCTGCTAAACTAAGAATGGTATCTATAGCCCCTGTCCTGCCCCCCTCTACTTAACATTGTATACTTCCTGATTGCCAGCATTTGGTAAGTTATCTATTTTATTCTGCCTCCCTCATAGTCAGCATTTAAAGCACAGTCTCATCTATATATATATATATATATATATATATAT